ACATTAAAATGAATGAACCGCGCGGCCGAGCGGTCAAGCACGAGCAGCTTGATGCGTCAGGCTGACCTTTCGCGCGCTCGTCGTCCCCTATTGCTTCATCTTTATACCTCCGGCCAGGAGACGGCGCGGGCGCGGGCGCGAGCAATTGCTCGATACGCCGCGGCGTTTAATAAATGAAAGCGCACGCAGGGAGAGAGAGGCGGTCGGGCGGGCGAACACGGAACGAGCCCTGCCTTTATCTTTATTTCAGACCAAGTCGCTCCGAGTGCTTTTTCCCGGCTCGCCCTCGGGCCCACGAAGGGAGCCGCCGCGCCGCGCCGCGCGTTCGTATCGCGGTCGAGCCAACACAAGGACGCCGACAACGACCACGATAAGCGACGGCGACACCGACACACCGACACCTTTTCACGGTCGTTGGCGGACCTTGCTCTCGTGGGGCGTCTTCTATGGCGGCGCCGTCGTTGGTTAGATGCATTATTAAATACGGTCAGACGCTGCGAGCGTTAACCGAGTATAACGAAGTAGGCAGCGAGACATAGGCACAGGGCGAGGGCGAAGGAAGCCGCTGAATATTCAGGCGCAACGAGCGTCTCAACACTATTTCAGTGCCGTCTACAGACGTTTGTTCCGCGACTATAAGTTTCCAGTTAGAAACTTCGCCGGCAGAGCATAAAACCAATTTATACTTCAACGCCAAGTCCGCGGAGGAGAAACGGTTGGAGCGCAGCCTCTCTCCCGCCTGCTCGCGCCGCTGCGCGAAATCTTGTCCGCTGGAGCGATCATATCGATTCTTCCAATCAGCCCGGCCGTCGTTTACGTCGATCATAGCGTCGCGCGTCCGCTGTAATTCGCGAGCCGCCGGGGTGACTTCCGCGAGACGCACAATGGGGAGGCCAAGTAGCGAGGTAAACGGGTCGTGGGCCGAGGGCCGAGGGCCGTGGAGAATGAAGAGCACAGGCGCGAATCGAATAATTATCGCGAATAATCACTGTCTTGTCGGGCTAAAAAGTCGTCGTCGTCGTCGTCGTCGGCCCGCGTTCCAGCCGCCGCGTTCGACCACGGAGACGCCATTAACCCGACACGTAAGTGGCGTTTTTCCTTCTATAAGGCTGTAATTAAAAATTCTTGTGTAGTTCGGAAGTGGATTCATACGGAAGTTGGCCGCGCGCTTGGCGGCTCCAAAGTTACCCGCTCGCTCGCGGATGCTGCCACTGACTGCTACTTCGGCGCCATCGAACTAAATGATCATTAATTGCGAGCTCCGGCCACATTATGCGAATTACTCCGGCGACAGTCTTGTCGCTAATATCAAGTTCCTCGGCGGAAGAATGTTGGTATCTCGCTCAATTAGAACTTTCCGCGGGAATCGCTTATCGACGGTGTAAAAAATTCTGACCCCCCTCCCTTCCCTCATGGCTTGATATCGATACTTTGGTCGCTTGATAGCCTCGGGACTTTTCGCGAGTGAGCTTGTCGCGGCGGAAAGCGGCTCGCCCGAAAACTCGCTATTGAGACTCGCGGAGCGGTCGGTTTCTGAATTTGCACGCACATTTCCGTGTGTTTGTATCTTTCGATGTAATTTTTTTGCGCGTCCCGCTCTTTCTCCCCCTCCTTCTCTCTCCCCCTCTCTCTCTCTCTCTCTCTCTCTCTCTCTCTCTCTCTCTCTCTCTCTCTCTCTCTCTCTCTCTCTCTCTCTCTCTCTCTCTCTCTCTCTCTCTCTCTCTCTCTCTCTCTCTCTCTCTCTCTCTCTCTCTCTCTCTCTCTCGTGTAGTTCTGTACACGGAGAGAAAAATGTTTGGCCGAATGAAGCAATTATCCGGTGAAATATGAGCGGCTCAGAAATTCCTATCGCAAATACCGGAAATTCTGTTCGGCTCAACCGGAAGTCTCGATAATTAAACCGAATTCTGACAACCTCAGTCGGAATTTGCGCTTCGCCAGAAATCTGCTCCACTCGACCAGACATTTTTCTCCGTGTATCTGTTTCCGCGTCCTCAGGATTTGTCTTCTGTGCTTCGTATACCTTTTATTCTCAAAAAGAGTTAATATCCTTTTAATGCAAATATATCATCCGAATAAAATCGCGATTCTGACTCGTTGCGTAACTTTGCACGCGGACTTTCTCGGCGACTTTCGTTCGCGCTGCAAGTCCACTCGTGCGTTTTAACGCCCTTTAACGTCTTTTTATAAGTGTTTTAAGAATAAAATTTGAGTTTTTTTGAACCGAGACTATAAGTAGTGATAACGAAAAAAAATATCAGAATTTTATATTGGTTTTTTTTATCGTTCGTTTTTCGTTTATTGGTAAGTATGACTTGGATCCTAAAAGTATATACGAAAATCAGTAATCTATACAGAAAAAAATGAAGGGTATAATCTATACGATTCTATAATTCTAGTCAGCTTGATATTTGGTTGATAGTCAGCTTGACATTTTTGAGCTGAAACTTTACTATATTTGTGAGTGAAGTTTATCATTCAGAGCGTCAAGCTTACTATTTCAGAAGAATATCTTATAAATCAGCATTTAGATAGTCGGTCGTCCCTTCATTTTTCGCCGCATAAAAAATTGTAGGTCACCAGGTTTTACAAAAATAGGTTTGATTTCTTGATTTTCGTGTCCACCATATTGGATCCGTCATTCTGAATTTCACATATTTTTTTAATTTCACATTTTGCATCTGAGAAAGCCTCCAAATGTATAAAATTCTAACAGATACCAATCTGTCCATTTATAGTACACTTCTAGATGTCAGTAACAATGCTAGCTATGCCTACTTGGAATTTGACAAAACATGTTATCATTAAAATTGAGCTAGAAACAGACTAAACCGCATCTACATACAATCTATATACCATTTTTCAGAAGAAGAATTCACCCTTACAGCGGTGCAAAGAAAACGAAAATATCTCCTTTTTTCACCAAGTTATGGATTCTTAAATGCGTTTCTGGTATACTATAGTTATCAGGAGGCGTTGAAGAATGAAACAAACGGCAAACGGTTCCATTCCAAGCTGCAGCCTCTTCCGTTCCCGGTAATGATTTCCGGCGGTGGCCGAAATTACATCGTCTCATTATGCCTTGATACGATGTAATTTCGCGGGATAAACGCACATATTCGTAACGGTGATGGCGATGTAGCCAAATTTAACGTACAATACAGCAGCACTTACCACTGCGCGCTCGTTACCGTATCATCATCGCTCGTAACGAGCTCGTCTCGTCACGTTATATGTTCGCCGATCCGCCAGCCGTGATCCGTCGAATTGGCAGATTCTAGATATCCTCGCGGAGAGGATCGCGAGAGCAATAAATAATTGGCCGCGTCGTCTTCGTAATTTTACTATCTCGCATAACGCGAGAGAGTGTCTCCGATGACATAACACGGCACCGTAGACAACGCTGAACGTGTCTCGTCGATGACGTCGAACGCTCGGTCCCGAGGACGAGCCGTGACAAACGAGAGCGTAGAGTGAAGTAATTGGAAACGTCAGAGACGTGACGAGCGACCTTACGTTCCAATTAAGGGGAGCAACAAAACGGACATTCTCTCTAATACGCCGGAATAATAAACAGGAAAAACGCTCTCTCGTATCTCGCGACGCTTTTCGCAACAGTTTCCGCCAACAGCCATTACCGAGCAACAGACATTTGCGAGAGACCGCGCGCGCGCGCGCGCTTCTTCAACGATTTACGGCCAGCAGTCGATCGTAACGTCGAAAGCGTCGCTGCCGACGCGCTCATACTCGTCCGATATCCTCGATCGTCTTGCTTGACCCCAGCGCTGGTGTTTTCGGAGCTGGTGTTTTGGCAGGTAAACCATAGGTAAACAACATGACGTCAGTGGGGAGGGGGGGGGGTCCAAGGTTGAGGGTGGCGGCAGGTGCTGGCGAACGCGAAAGAAGAAGAAAGGGAAGGCACGAGGACGCAGGCGGAGGAGGAGGAGGAGGGAAGCCCCCGGGGGTGGCTCGTGCGCGGGCGCGGCTTTGCGGGTCAGAGTGCGTCGGGTATATAACCGGGCGGATGCCGTCGTCCCTTAGTCTCGCGCTTATCGTCGTCGTGACGACTCGCTCGCGGGCCCGGTGCCGCCGACGTCTCTCGTCTACCGTTCCGTGGCGTTTCGATGACTTCCCCGCGCGATGCGTGCCGATTCGCGCGCCGTGGCGACCGGTACCGAGTTCTCCGCCGCTAGATGATACGTCGTTCGGCGGGAGGTGCCTGTCCGGGGGTTGTTTCGGCCGCGTCGGGGACCGGCGAGATAGCAGCGATCAGTGAAGAAATTGCCTTTTTCTACCTCTGCGTTTGAGATCGTCCCTCCCGAGTCCTCGTGTACCGTTGCGCGCGTTGGACGGCGGAAAGAGAGGAGGAAGACCGGAGGAATCAAATATCCGCGAGACACAGAGAGAAGGGAGGAAGGGAGGTATGAGCGGCAGCGGAACATTGTATATCGCAAGTAGAGCGTTTCGATAAGTCCGTGCGGCTGACGTTATCGAGCATCTCCGGAGCCAGAGCTCGGCCCGGGTTCTTTATCGCGCGGCGAGTTCTCTCGCTTCCCCCTCCCCCCTACCCTCCTCCCGCCCCCCGTGACAAGTCAGCCGGTGCGCCGAATGCGCTCGCGAACGGACGAGACGGAACGTCGTGCGAGGAACGTTGAGCGGCTAGCACTCTCGAGGTCCTCGAGAACGTCCCCGACTTTTCACTCGAGTGTCATCTCATCGCCGTAGGCGAGAGCAGCGAGAGCCAGCCAGCGAGATCGTCCGGGCGTCGAAAGTTCGATTCTGGGTTAGCAGGGCCAGACGAAACCGAGGAGGGAGGAAAAACATTATCGCGCGATACCCGTCCGGGGACTAAATTGGACGGCGCGCGAGAGGCGGAGGAAGCCGAGAAGGAGAACGAGGAACAGGCGGAAGAAGAAACATCGGCCAAGTGGTGGCAACGGCGGCGGCGGCGGCGGCGGCGGCGGCGGCGGTGGCAGTGGCGGTGGCGGTAACGGTGACGGTGACGGTGACGGTGACGGTGACGGTGGCGGCGTCGGGGAAGAAGTGGGAAAGTGGTAGCTCGGGGGGGTTGGTGAAGGTGCTGCGACGGAGGATTTCAAGCCGTGCCCCCGGCGAGATACGGGTCGCCCGTATAGATCTATATGCACAGTAAAATTGTGGCGGCAGAGGAGCCCCGGCTACAACGCCGTCGTCATCGTCGTCGTCGTCGTCGTCGTCGTCGTCGTCGTACTCGCGCTCGTTGTCGCGCCGTTGCTGTAACTGGGTCACACAGCCGTCCTTGTGGGCGTCTCGCGAACTGTTCTCCATAATTCCGCGAAATTCCCTTGATGCAGCGAAAAAAAGTCGAGACCCACCAGCGGCGGCGAGACGAGGACTTGGCGCTCTCGCCTGGTCGAGAGGCTCGCCAATTTGGGACGATAGAGGAAGTAACGGGCGCAGCAGCAGCAGCAGCAGCAGTAGCAGCAGCATCGTCGACGTCGCGCGTCCTTCTCTCTCTCTCTCTCCCGGCGTCCGGTCCTCCGTCGCCTCCGTGCCGACGCGACATGATGTATCGCGCTCAGTGTGCTCATTGCGCAACGTCTCGCGATCGATATGATGAATGATGCGCTGCTAAGCTGCTTCGCCGTAAGGATCGCGCTCGACAACACGCGCGCAACACCGTGCTCTCGCGTCTCGCGTCCTTCGGCATCTGCGAGTCCACCGCGAGAAGACCGAAGCCAACAACGGACGGACAACAACGGGCCGCGTCGTGTATGAACATCGCGGCCAAGTGGCAGCGTGTTCACCTGTGCCTCACTCGTGTGCTCGCACGGCTCACACTTGGCCGACGCGAAGCTGTCGCTCGAGCTGGCGAGCTCTCTCTCTCTCTCTCTCTCTCTCTCTCTCTCCGAGTATATCGCGGCGTATTCCCACCGGGAGTATCCGTAATGATCGGCGCGGCTCAGTGATTTGCGGCCGGGGAGAGAGCGCGAGTCGAGCCGATACCGTGTCCGCGGTAACGAGCTGTTACGTCGTTACGCGGTTACGTAAAAAAAGAATCCACCGACTGGACTCCCAGGGGGACAATCCCGGCGGAAGGTCCACGCGAGGGCGGCTATTACCCGCGTCGTGGAGTGTGAGTGGCTCCCGAGCGCGCTCGCGCGACAACCCCGTTCTGTTCCCCTTCACCTAGAGCGCGGCCGAGCCGGTAAATAATGAAACCCCGCGGTCATTTGTCAAGCTCGCCGCGAGACGAGCGAGTGCTCGGGCGAGTATCGTCGTCGGGCTAAACGGCACGATTCCAACGCACGAGGCACCGACGAGCGTTCTTTTGCAGCGAATGTCAGCGGGAGATCACGTCTCGTTGATTCTTGCCCGCGCGAGTCCCGCGTCTGTGCGTCGTCTTCGCCGATGAAGCAACGCTGGTCACGCGGTGACTCCAGGCACAACGCCGAAGACTCTTGAACGTGTGTTGAAGAGACGCGAGGCTAAAGAAGTTGAAGAGAGGGAGAGAGGAGAGAGAGAGAGAGAGAGAGAGAGAGAGAGAGAGAGAGAGAGAGAGCGAGCGAACTTGTCGATCATCCGGGTCGAATGTGCTCTCGCGCCTCGCGATGCGAGAGTCGGCTGGTCACGCTGGCGAGCAGTGCAGTCTTACTGGGTGCGATCAGCGGCGGCGCAGATAACGGTGCCCGCGAGCCACGGCTTGGTGCGAGCGTGAACGCATGAGAGCGGCGCGCCGCCGGGAGGACGTGCGTGACGACAAGAGATCTCATCTCGTGCGCGGTGTCGAAGCGAGTGCCGAGCGACATGAGGCGACGGAACAACGGCTCCTCTTGCTTCTGCCAGGCGGCCAAGAGGAACGGCCGCGGCGGTTGCAACGAGACTGAGACGAACGAGCCACCCGGCTGGTGCATCTACGTGGCGGTCGCGCTCGTCGCGGTCGGTTGCTACCTGAACGCGCTCGACTGCGACTTTGTGCACGACGACATACCGGCGGTGGTGAGGAACCGGGATGTGATCGGCAAGGCGTCGTGGAGCAGCGTGCTCAACGACGATTTCTGGGGCACGCCGATGGAGAGCATCAACAGCCACAAGAGTTACCGGCCCTTCACCACCCTGACGTTCCGGTGAGTCCCCGGCGTCCGCCGGTTTTTCTTCTTCTTCTTCGCGGCGAGATCAGCGACAGCGGCGATTTACTCGATTGGTCTCATCGTCATTTCCTGCAACTTCCGTATTCGCCGATACTCGAGGCGTCATCGAATTAGCGCCATCTCGAGGTTATCGATACGAGCGGTCGGCCGGCTGGGGTGTCTTCCTCCCGATGAAACAATCGGACGTTTCCGTTGTCTCGCGGCGGTCTCATTAGCGCGCTTTATTTCATTTCTTGCGTCCTTCCTCTCTCCTCTCTCTCTCTCTCTCTCTCTCTCTCTTTCTCCGTGGATTTTCGTCAAACCCTCAGGAAAATCCGTAAAACAGAAAAGTGAATACGATTCGCTTGCACGGTCGTCCGTCCAGATAAAATAAGACAGCAAGAACTTGTCTCGAGGAACGTGTCTGGTTGCCTGACGTTCCAAACACATGGCACGACCACGTAGCTCGCAGCACCGGGGTGTCCTCTCTCTCTCTCTCTCTCTCTCTCTCTCTCCCCCCCCCCTCCCTCCGCCTGGCTCTCAGTCTCTCACCCCCGTTCTTACCGGCAGACATCGCGTCTATATATACACACGTACATGCACGCGTACGTGTGCACATACGCGGCCGCATATACAGGCGCGTCCCATGCAGTCGGAGATGCACCTTATGGTCGTACCACGAAGGACAGGATCGGCAAGAACCGTTCTTCCTGACCACGACGGACGCGACCGAGCATACGATAGTGTGCGGCGGCGTAGCGTGTCGTGTCGTAGAGCACACGAAACTTGCACCCTCCCGTCATCCGTCCGTCCGTCCTCCCTTTCCGTCCTGCTTCCCTCTGCGCTCCCCCCTCCCCCCTCCCCCCGCCCCCGCCCCCCCTCCGACTCTCCATCGGCCGCCGCCGATCCGTCCAGCCATGCCGCCGCTGCCGCCGATTTGATGCATGGATACCAGTTTGCCACTCCACGTGCAATACTGCATATTGGCTGGTATTGGACGATCCATCACGCCACAAGACACCGGCACATCGCTCATCCGCCCTTAACGCTCCAGATGCTGTTGCCAACTTCGACGAGGTGGGCGCGCGGCCGCGGCGGGCCGGGAGCGCGGGGCGGGAAAGGGAGTCGGCGGGCGTAGCTCGCGAGCAGCGCATAACGCCTCCACGTTTCGCGCGTTATCGGAAGTGGAACGCATCCATAATCCGGCGGGGCGAGAGGGGAGGGGGGAGGGGGCGCGAGGACGCTGGCGCCGCGCTGCGCGCGAGCCGCATTCGTCTTGGCAAGACGAGACTTTAACGATTTCCGGATCGCCACTGACGCGCGCGAGGCCGCTTTATATCGCGCGCGCGCGCGCGCGCGAGCAGAGCGATAGCCGCGCCATAGTCTCTCATTGTTGGCGCCGCTCGGCCGATTCGGCCGGGGGAGGAGTGGTTTATGCACACGTGCGAAGATGCGCCCGCGCCGACAGCGGCGGCGCGGTTGAAAGGATAAGCGAAGATTTATGTGTCAGCCGTTTAAGGCGAAAGTTGTCTACCACATATTGCATGTTTGATGATGCATCGCGCCGCCGTTTAACGCGAGGAGGCTCGCTCGCGAATTTCTATACCGCTTCACGATCCATCCTCTATGGGGGTGTCTTTCCCATCTTCTTGCGTTACGTTACGTCGCGATAGCGCGCGGCGAGAGGAAGAGAGGAGAGAAAGAGAGGGGCGGCGCGTCGCCTCGGGAATAAATAAGGAAACGTCCTTCGTCGATAACTCGGCCACGAGATATCTTTTCCGCACGGGCAGTCGTGTTTTGCAGCTGCCGGCACGGTGCGGGGGGGAGGAGGGGAGCGGAACGCCTCGGACAATTCCTAAGCCCCATCCGAGGTCGCGTGTATGTTTCTCTCTCGCTGTAGGGGTACGTCCCCCCCCTCTCGCCCTTGCGACGCGACGCGACGCGACGCGATGCGAGAGGCGCGTCTCTTTTCACCGGCCGCTCTCTTTATTGCCGGCGAAACTCCGACGGCGCTCACGGTATGCCGCTTTGAGGATTCGAGTCCCCGGATGAAAACGTGCCGGCGACCCCAAAAGTCCAGGGTGCATTCGTGCCAGTTGACCCGGCGGCGCCTTCCACACACCCGGCCACCGTTCTAAAGTTTCCCGGGAGAGATTCCCGGGCATTTCCTCCGACCGCCCATCATTTTCTTCCCGTGTATCGCTCCGTCCCCCCTCGCCGGCCCCCCGGCCCGCCGCGCTTTTACACATTTTATCGGCGATATCATCGGCGAGCGGCGGCCATCTCGCCCTCCCCTCCGCCCGGCGCGACGGAGTGACAATCTCGCATTCGACGTGCGTCGTATCGCTCGTGCGGCGGATCGGGGACGCGCGGGGGGCCGTCGTTCTCCCTGTAGTTAATGCTCGATCCGGCCGCTTTGTCGACACTTTTCACACACGAAGGCTGCTAATTGAGATGCTATCTCCGCCGCAGTACACACAAGGCGCGCGCGCGCGCGCGCGCCCGTGCACAGTCGGATATTTGGAAAGCAGTTGCCGACGGTTATTTACGGGGCGGGGATCGCGTGGGGGGCTGACGTATTTGGTAGGAAAAATGGGATTTCATGCGAGCTCTACGTATTTCTCAACTACTTGGTCTCGAGCGGAAATAATTTACGGCCGCGGCCGAGCGTGAGTCTCTCGCCCCGCCACGCCGCGGCGTCTCGAATGAATAACGTGCGAAGCTCAGTCGACTCGCGCGCGATTTCTCTCCGAGTAGTCGCGGGGGGCGGAGGAGGGGGCGGGGAGGGAGGGAACGCTCGCTAACCGGCTTCGATGATGATTACGTTCGCGGGCGTAAGCCGCGGATAGCTCGCGAACGCGGAGTGAAACGACGCTTTTATTACCGCGAGCTCTCTCTCTCTCTCTCTCTCTCTCTCTCTCTCAGCTCGACAGTCGAGAACGCTTCGGTGCGTGTCGAATTTTCCTCGTTCACGCGCCCCTTCGAGCGGCGTCGCTATGGTTGATGGGTTTCGCGCGCGAGACGTCGTCGTCTCTGCGGGGCTGAAACGCGGAAGTCGCGCAGCGGCTCGGAGTCGCGAAGTCGCGCGGCACACGTCGTCTCATTTGCGTCGATTTAATTAAGAGGAATCCCCCGCTGCTCCTCGCGGAGCACTCGCGCCGGCTCCGTTCTTCTCCCTCCGGGAAGATTTACCAACGCGTTCTCTCCTCGACGAGACGCGCGCGTCACACACGCTCGACGACGGCTTTTGCGCCCATACGATGATGATCGATATAATCGCGTTCCCCGCGCAAGGACGACTTGCCTCGTTGTCTCGAAGATGCTGCTCCTTTGTTTCATCAACCCGGCCCGGCCCAGCCCGGCCCGAGGAGCAGCGCGTGCCTCGCGAAATCGCCGAGCTGCGAAATTGTGCGGCGGCGATGTCGACGGGAATCTCCAGCGATTCCTTTTTCTCTTTCCCGCGACCGAGCCAGGCAATTCTGAAGCGGCGTCTAATCAATTCGCTCGCGACGCTTCGCCGAAGGAAAGCACCACCGGCGAACGAGCGCCGGTTGCATTCACCGGAGCGATCCCCCGCTTTGCATCCCTCCCCCCCTCTCTCTCTCTCTCTCTCTCTCTGGGCTCTTTACGCTGAAATATTCATCCGCGGACGTTAAGTAGCGTCGATTGAAAAGCTATCTCATAAATAAGACCTCAGCGTGGCGGCTCATTTAAGATTTACTCGGCGGCGCCTCTTAGCTCGGCTCGTTCGCACGGTTGTTAGCATTTTACTGGTGTTGCCAGTTAAATCACGATCAGCGACCAAGTCCGCCAGGCGTTAGCCGGTGATTTATGAGTCGGCCGACAGTGGCGATGGGTCGCGCTTTGCGGCCGGGCGTCCTGTGAGGGAATAATTATTATTAAATTACTTGACTCGGGCGCGCGCGCGCGCGCGCTCTGGAATCTCGTTCCGCGCGCGGCGCTACTGACATGCATGAATGATTGCGTCGCGCGAGCTCTAATTTAGACGCGCGGCATATAGCTCTGTGCTACGCGCGTATTGCGCTCGCGCATTCGATTACGCCGGCGATTCGTCGACGATGATGTTTCATTCAGTCTGGTAACTAAGCCTTATTGAGAGAGAGAGAGAGAGAGAGAGAGAGAGAGAGAGAGAGCTGGATATTAGAATTTCTCGTTTGTTCGCCGCTGCCTGTCGCGCGGCGCGCGAGTACGGCGGATCGCTGCAAGGAGAGAGAGAGAGAGAGAGGGAGAGGGAGAGGGAGGGAGGGAGAGCGGAGAATTTATGTACGGCTGAAATTACATTTTGTTCCGCGCGTGTTTATACCGAGGACGCAAACTTACGCTGGGAAAAATTCGCGAGAGAGGCTTTAGGTGTGTATCGGCCGACGGTTTGGATGAACGCGAACGACAGATAGAGTAAGTCCGGGAAAGTTTTTTTTAATTGCAAATAACGCATCTGTATTGATGCAATAAATGGTGAGCGACATATTAACACGTTCAGTAGAGGATAATGTTTAGGGTACAGAAGAGTTTTTGTGAAAGAAAATTCATGGGACGCCAATAATAACGAAATATTAAAAATATTCTACGAAGGGGATAGATGGTCAGGTGTCCAGATTAGATGGTCGTATGGTCAAGAAATAGCTGGGCATACGTCGTTTCGGTAATTAATGTTTAGGTTAAATACGATGTTTTTTAGTCGCTTAAGCCCAGGTCTAGTGTTGCAACTCAAAATACACCGCATTCGCAAGATATTTTTCCGACGTGTGAAACGTTTTGGAGATTACTGGAAACATAAAACATTTATTTACTCGCAATAGCAGTATTTCTAGGCATCAGGATGAAACACACTTACTCGCGGTACATCCAATTCACAACTGACCGATCAGCGCTGACGCTTAGCATATATTGATAAAATCATTTTTTTTCAGGGACTCAGCGAGAAATAGCAAGCAATGGACATCGGATCGACGTTTTCTAGATGCTTCAGACGTATA